AGTTTTGTTTTTTTAAAAAAAGCTAGACACGGAACAGCCATGTGATCCAGCAGTACAGCTACTTTATATATTATATATATACATATATATATATGTGTGTGTGTGTATGTGTATCCAAGAGACGTGAATTCATTTTATTGGAGATAACCTGCTCCACTATGTTTATAGCAGCACTGTTCACAAAAGCCAAAATACAATCAACTAAGGTGTTTATCATCAGGTGAACGTATTAACAAAAATTTATATATACAAAATGGAATACTATTCAGCTACAAATATGGAAATCTTATCATTTGAAGTAAAATGGATGAGCTGGCGGACATAATGTTGACTGAAATAAGTCAGACACAGAAAGACAAATACTGCAATGTTCTCTCTGTATATGAAGGTTAAAATTAAAAAAAAAAATTCAACCTGAGCACATAATGTTGACTGCCAGAGGCTGAGAGGAGTAAGAGGGATAAAAAACATAAAACAAAATAGGGGAAGCTGATGTGGTTTATTAATTGTGACAAATACATTAATAGGGGAAGTTGGATGAGTAGTACATGAAAACTCTGTATTGCTACCTTACAACTTTTTGTTTTGTAAATTTAAAACTATTCTGAAATAGTGTTAAAAAAAGGAAAAAACTGCATGAATTTCAAAAATTTTTTACACCCAAAACTTAAATTTTAGATTTTTCATGAACTTTTTGAAGTCCTTTTATATATAATTAAATTTTATATATTTAAATTTGTTCTGTTTCTCTGGAGAATCCTAAACTTTTCAAGGGTTACTGTTTTCATTAATTTATTAAATAGTAGCCAATAATTTTGGTATAATATTCCATTTATAAATATCTGCTTTTTTATTTTTATTTTTTGACATGCAGAGTGGACAGTGAGAGAGAGAGACAGAGAGAAAGGTCTTCCTTTTTTCCGTTGGTTCACCCCCCCACAGTGGCCGCTCTTGCGGCGTGCTGCAGCCGGCATACTGTGCCCATCCAAAGCCAGGAGCCAGGTGCTTCTCCTGGTCTCCCATGTGGGTGCAGGGCCCAAGCACTTGGGCCATCCTTCACTGCACTCCTGGGCCACAGCAGAGAGCTGGACTGGAAGAGGAGCAACTGGGACAGAATCCGCCGCCCCAACCAGGACTAGAACCCAATGTGCCAGCGCAGCTGGCAGCGGATTAGCCTAGTGAGCCGTGGCACCGGCCCAATATCTGCTTTTATTTCAATAACTTTTTGGTTATATGCAACCTAGTTTTTCAATTGATGTAAAATTAGACTCTGCTGTATAAGTCAGTTAATCTTGCCAAACTGCAGATCTACATTTGTAGGGAAAAAGATGACAGCAGTAACATTCTTAACCTACAGTAAAACCTATAAACTCGGAAGATTATATTTAGATTAGTTTTCCTGTCTTACTGAGAAAAGTCTATAGCTAATTCTCTATTTTTCAACACTTGATTAATTAAAGAATTCAACATATAATTTGGTGATGCTGTAAGCAATCCTTCAGACTCTCAGATTCCCTACTCCTAAAGATTCACCTAAACAGTTACTATCTCACACCATTGAAAGAGGTGTCTTTTCCTTATCCATTGCATAAAATTACTAGGACCTGTCTTCCTCCTCTATCATTGTCCACTTTGCCCAGAGTGCCTCTACTGCCAAATAAACTCTGCAGGAACTTCTGCCTCATTACCAGAGATTCTGATGCTATTAGAAGATTTGCAGAAAAAAAAAAAATAAACAAGAAAAACCTGCTTACATTGCTGAAGTTAGGAGAGATGTCCTTCCAAAATAAATGTTTGAATTCATTTTTTTCATAGAAACCATGTTCAAAGATAGGTGTTTAAGTACATCATGTGGTACATGGCTTTATTATGGTGTATTATAAGAATGCAAGACTGTTTATGATACTTCAATTACAAGTTCTAAACAAGCTTTTGTTAAAAAACTTGAAAATTACATTGGAGGCTTTTCATATACATTGGTGTTCTAAAGAGTAATGAAGAATTCACGTAAGTAAGAAGCAATATTTGATCATTGATATTATTTGGAATTAATGTCACATGATGACAAACATATTTTTAGTCTCTTCTTTGTTACTGCTTTTCAGTTTGATTACAGAAAATGCCCCTCTTGTTGCCAGCTCCAGAACTAATACATTTATTGTCCTCTCACCCCACTACTTGGCACATCACTACTTATAAATAAATTAGAAATTGGGAAATAGAGTTACACTGTAAAATAAGGAAGAATTTAAAAGGAAAAATGGACATGAATTCATTTCACCAACAAAATGATCCCAGGACGATGGTCACCCCCTTGAGCCTCAGTTTTGCCATCATTAAAATAGAGCTAAAATATTTATGTTTGTGTGACTAAATAATGTAATTTAAAGACCATGGAACATAGCATATACTCAACCAAAATTAATTAGATTCTGCAGTAACTATTTTATTATTTTCTGGCAATGCATGATGTTTTAAACATCTTTGTTATGTTTAGGGAATTTCCAATGTTAAGAGCTGCTTTCCTGAGGTAAACTCTGAAAATGTTTCCAGGCCCTCAAAGCTAGGGTACAGACATGTGACCTAGGTTTTTTATATTCAGCACATCTGTAGAGGACTTTTATTTGGAAGTTAGTCATTTCAGAGAGGAAGGAGTCTTTTTGAAAACCAATTTACGGCCGGCGCCATGGCTCACTAGGCTAGTCCTCTGCCTTGCGGCGCTGGCACACCGGGTTCTAGTCCTGGTCGGGGCGCTGGGTTCTGTCCTGGTTGCCCCCTTCCAGGCCAGCTCTCTGCTGTGGCCCGGGAGTGCATTGGAGGATGGCCCAAGTGCTTGGGCCCTGCACCCCATGGGAGACCAGGATAAGTCAGGATAAGTACCTGGCTCCTGCCATTGGATCAGCGCAGTGCGCTGGTTGTAGTGCGCCGGTCGCAGCGTGCCGGCCGCGGTGGCCATTGGAGGGTGAACCAACGACAAAAGGAAGACCTTTCTCTCTGTCTCTCTCTCTCACTGTCCACTCTGCCTGTCAAAAAATAAAAAAATAAAAAAAAATAAGAAAACCAATTTACTAGTAAAGGCATCTGCCATTTGGAGTGGCCGTGTTTGTGAGATTGAACCCCTAGTTTAGTGAAGGCCTTTGAGGGCAGAGGTAGTTGCAGCAGTGACATTCAGTATTGAGTAGGATAGTAGTAAGTTGTGTCAGTGGCTTACTCACTGGGCCAGTTCTCCCTTCTCCTTTTTACAAATTTCTGAACTCATTCAGCCAGAATCAGCTTCTGTTACTTTCAGCAATGAGCCCTGACTGGTACACATTTCTTCATTTGAGGCATTATCACTTGTGAATAACTGGCTAAGAAAATACTGAGGTAATCTTCAGTCATCTGAAACAAAGGTATATAATACTGGGAAGTAAACCCTAGGAAAGTATAGCAGCTATTATTGAGTGGAGGTTGAGAAATATAGCTTTTAAGGAAATCACATATAATATTGAAATACTTAATGAGTTTCTCTTTCTCTATTACTATACAAATAGTTAAAAGATGTTAGACGTTCATGTTTCCCAAAAGAAATTATTTCAAAAGCAATTTATAAAAAATTTTGAATTCTGTATATTGATTCTGTGCAGTAGTCTCTAGTAAGTTTATCAATTCAAATCAAAGCTAGCATCAAAATAAATCAGGCATTATATGGCATATTAAATTTTTGGATCTTAACTTGGCTTCTCTAATCTAGGCAGCAGCAACATAGTGGCAGCTCTTACTCATTGCAGTGGGGAAATAACAAAGCAAGAGTAAAATTGCCACTGCAAAATGAAGCACTTCACCACATTTCCATCTAATGCATTATACTTCATGAGTCTCCTAGGAGCCAGAAAAATATAGCAAAGTCTTTAAAAGTGAATCCAGATGTCAACCATCACCATAACAGTGCTTTAATTATCAAAAAAAACAAAGAAATGACTCCTTAGGTATATTCTAAGCAGGTGTTCTTTCACAAAAAACAGAATAGCTGAAGAAACAGCTGTGGCATTATATCTGCTTCAAGACTAAGGAAGAAATAACAAAGACTACACAGAGGGAGCATAGAAAATACACAGTTCTTAAATTTTCCAAGTATTACTCTATACAGCATAATGACGATTAATATTAATTACTCCATTTTACAGATGGGAAAACTGAGCAATTTGTGTTACTTTTGTTTTTTTGTTTTTGGTTTTCTTTTTTCTAATTTGAAAGGCAGAAAGAGAGGGGAGATAGAGAAAGAAACAGACAAATTTCTCCCATCCATTGCTTCACTTCTCAGATGCACAGTGTCAGGGCTGGGCTGTGGCCAGAGCCAAAAACTGAGAATAGGTCTCCCATGAGAGTTAACTAGAACCCAATTAGTTGAATTATCATCTCTGCCTTCTGGCATTTTGAACCCAGGCACTCTAATGTGGGTTGGGGTTGTCTTAACTGCTAGGCTAAATGTCTCCTTCCTACAGTAATCTCTAATCTAATATCTGTCGATCTTTGACAACTTTACTACCTAATGAATTTACTGTGTAAGATCCTTTAAGCATAGCACATAGCATGGATATTTTCAACACAATTCATTTTCATTTCAGAGAAATTATAAAATAACACAGACTAGCAAAAACAGAACTGCTAATCAGGGAATTTTAAATTTGGATCTCTGAATTTCTGAAATAAAACAAAAATTGAAAGTATAGTTTTTCTAGGAGTAAAGACCACACACTTTTCATAAGGTTCTAAAGGGTATATCATTCAAAGAGCTATCTGTATTCTCTGAACTTTACATATGTAACTAAAAGAACAGACTCAAACAGCCTGAGAAGACATTTGTCTAAAATATGCAATGAGCCCAAATCAGTAGTAATTTCTAAGATTTGATTTGGCTGTTTTATAATGATCTTGAAAATTATGGAATATTAGAAAAATATTTCCTTCATTAAAAGTTTTGGTTTGGTTTTTGTTTTTATGCATGTGCAATCTGACAGTAACCTGCTGGACAAGAGACTGAATGAGAAGATTTGGCAATTCAAATTGATGGGAAGAGCTGGTACAAATAATGAAATATCTGCAAGAAGCAACAGAAGCATGATAGTGATATTGTGGGTGAATCATTAAAATCTGAGTACTTGACAACAGAGAAAGTAAGCTAGCTGAAACAGTGTGAGGAGGTAAATAAGGAAATCAGCAAACTGATGATGTCCCTTGGATACATAAAATATGCAAGAATAAGGATGTGGTAATGGAACATGTGAGGGAATTAGGGGACCAGCTTCCTTTGATGTTAATGAGAAAAGAGGAAAAAATTTCAGATACACCTTTGGTGAAAAACCATATATGGATGTGTCATTTGATACATTACATCATTCATTGAACAAACTCTCAGTAATAACTATATATAAAGCACTGTGGCTATAAACGTACAAGAAATAACTCTTGTATCAAGGAATTCACAGCATTTTGGGGAGATAAATAGAAACAATTTCTGCAAACTAGCAGAATCGCAGACAAGGAATTGTAATGCTTATGAGATGAAAGTGGTGGGAGTGATCAGAATAGGCATTAAAGGATAGCACTTGAAATGAATCTTCCAAATTGAAGATTGTTACCTTACAAACAAGGAGAGAAAGGATAATTCAGGAGAAGAGAGCAAGTACAAAGGCATGCTGGGGTGAGAAAGCATATCATGGATAGAAAGAGTGATGCAAATTGACATGGTGGGAAAACAAAGGACTTAGTTGATGTGGCCATGGCTAATAATGATGCTGGTTTCTGAAAACGCCCAAGGAAAAGAAAATGAGATCCCTAAGTAGGCAGCAACAGTGGGGAGAGGGTAGAGAGCTTTAAATAGAAATAGTGGGAAACTAAAATTTCGTTATTTAATCCATCTCAGGAAAACCAGTGTGAACCCTTGCCTCATTTCTGCATTTTTAGCAAACTAACATATTGATGCCTTAAAGTTAGAACTAAAGTCTCACCTTCCTTTCAAAGACTATTAGAAACAGTTCTATCATATTTCACATCTCTGTTTATCTCTATTTGGGATAAGCTTCCTCAAAATACCCATTCTCATATTACTCCAATGATTGTCTCTAGTGTCTCATGTTGCAGTATTTAGGTATTGGTCCTTTGGGGACTGACTTATTTCACTAAGTTTTCCAGTTGCATCCATTTTGTTGCAAATGACAGGATTTCATTTGTTTTACTGCTGTGTAATATTCCATGATGTACATATCTCATAATTTCTTTTTCCAGTATTCAGTTGAATGACGTTTGGGTTCATTTCCTTATCTTAGCTATTGTGAATTGAGTTGCATCTTCCCTCTTCTAAGAATGGAGATGTTCTGCCTCTTCCCATTTGTGTTCCTGATTCTTCCTATCTCCACTCTCCTCCAGGGCTTCATCCTTTCAATTACCCCTTCTCTCTCCTAAATCACCTCTCTCTCCTATCCACATAAATATGTACAGATGTACATATGTATTATTATGGGTTGAGTAGGACTTCTATCTCCCAAACTCATCAGATATTTAAACTCATTTTAATGTTAATGATGAATGAATTAAGGGTGGAGACTTGATCTAAGTGTGGCAGCTATGAAGTAGGGCTGGTAGGAGGTCTTTAGGTCATTGAGGGCATGCCCTTGGAGCATCCTCCCTCATCAAAGGTTCTCATCAGAAGTTTTATTATTTCAATTAAAATTCTGCATAGCTGCTTGCTCTCTCTGCTTCTTGGTACACCATGTAATTGTTCCTCTGCACCTGCCATGATGAGCTATTACCAGACACTAAGCCATGGAGCCACCCAGTCCTAAAGTGTAGCCTCCAAACTGTAGGCTGAAATAAACCTTTTCTGTCCCAAGAAGCTCTTCTCAGGTAAAAGTAACAGAAAGTAGAAATACATGCCTTCAGCATGTCATCCTGTAGCTACCATCATTTTGACTCCCTTCACAGTAAAACTTTTTTTTAAAGATTTATTTACTTATTTGAAATTCAGAGTTACACAGTGAGAAGAGGCAGAGAGAGAGAGAGAGAGAGAGAGAGAGAGAGAGAGAGTCTTCCATCTGCTCTGGTTCATTCCCGGTTGGTCGCCAGAGTTGCAGCAATCTGAAGCCAGGAGCCAGGAGCCTCTTCTGGGTCTCTCACATGGGTGCAGGAGCCCAAGGATTTGAACCATCTTCTACTGCTTTCCCAGGACATAGCAGAGAGCTGGATCGGAAGTGGAGCAGCCAGGACTCAAACCGGCACCCATATGGGATGCTGGCATTGCAGGCAGCAGCTTTACCAACTATGCCACAGTACTGGCTCCCACGGTAAAACTTTTTAAAAATTATCTTTATTTTTCACTTATTGATTCTTCAACTCAGTGCACTCTGGTTTCTACATTCATCAGTTTTTGGCACTGTTCTTGTCAGAGGCACCAAAGATGCCAGTGCTGCCAGAGATAAAAGATACTTCTCTGTCTTCATCAAGTTCAGGTTCTTTCCAACTTTTTTTTTTTTTTTAAGATTTATTTCATTTATTTGAAAGACAAGTTACAGAGAAAAGTAGAGACAGAGAGAAAGGTATTCCATCCGCTGGTTCACACCCCAAATGGCCACCGCAATGGCCAGAGCTGCACCGATTTGAAGCCAGGAGCCTGGAGCTTCTTCTGGGTCTCCCATGTGGGTGCAGAGGCCCAAGGACTTGGACCATCTTCCGATGCTTTCCCAGGCCATAGCACAGAGCTGGTTCAGAAGAGGAGTAGCCGGGACTGGGTCCAGCGACCATACGGGATACTGGTACTTCAGGCCAGGGCTTAAACCTGCTGCACCACAGCAGGTTTTTTTTTTTAAGATTTATTTATTTATTTGAGTCAGAGTCACACAGAGAGAGAAGAGGAGTCAGAGAGAGAGAAAGGTCTTTCATCTGCTGGTTTACTCCCAAATTGGTTGCAACGACTGGAGCTGCTCCATTCCATAGCCAGGAGCCAGGAGATTTTCCAGGTCTCCCATGCACGTGCAGGAGCCCAAGGACTTGGGCTGTCTTCCACTGCTTTCTAGGCCATAGCAGAGAGCTGGATTGGAAGTGGAGCAGCCGGGGCTTTAACCAGTGTTTATATGGGATGCCGGCACAGGAGATGGCGACTTTACCCACTTTGCTACCTTTTGAAATACTTAAAATACCCTCTCCTTGAATATACTCCTCAGTCATCATAAATAATACCATGATCTCTTGATTTCTCAGCTTCATCACTAGCTATTTTGTCTCAGTATGTTTGCTGGTTTATCCTCCTTTACCTTCTCTCTAAATATTGAAGACTTATAGTACAGTGCTTGGCCCATTCTTATTTATACATTTTCTTCCTTAATAACTTCATCAATTTCCAGTGTTTTCACCTTTCATTCTCATTTGTAGATGATTTTGAAGCTTACATCTCCAATTCAGAATTTTTCTTAGGCATTGCACTATTTAAGTGGCGATATCATATGACCATTTAATTTGTGTTCTGACCATGAACTTTTTCCCTAACATATAATTTCACTTTGCTTTACCTGCTATATCCATGGCCTAAAGCATTATATAACCTGTGTGATGTCTGTATTTCCAGTGTCAACCTTTTCCATTTTCCCTTTGGCCCATGGTGTTCCAACCATACTGGCCTCTAATATTCTAGGACAACTCAACTCTGCAAATTCAGGCTTTTACTTTTCTCTGTCTGATTCACTCTTTCTTCTGTTCTTTTTCTGGCTAACTCATTTTGTCAGGTCTCAACTGGCACCTTACTCAAGTTTTCCCTTACTTTTCTATTTAAGGTGGGTCACTCTCCTGAATCATTTTTATCTCAGCTGCTTGTGGAATCCAACTTTGAATTGAATATGTTGACCTGGAACTCAAAAGGGAAGGTATGTACTAATTAGGGAAGAATGCATATGGGCATGTGGACATGGGTAAATTTGGGGAACAGATGCACAGGAAATTGAGAGTTATCTGTGAAAGAAACAGGGCATTCAATTGAGAATGAGAAAGTAGAGGCCCTGAGGAGAATAGTAGTTGTTGTAATCACTTCTTGGGTGGGAAGCAGCACAAGACAGGGTGTTTTCACATGTGACAGTGAAAGAGGATTCTTGAAAAGTATAAAGGCTCCAGCTAAGACCAATATGAATCTGTCCACAAGCTTAGGTCAGCCAGAAATACCATATTATTATTATTTTTAAAGCCAGCTGCAATTCAGTTCTGAACCTCAGGTTAATGAGGCGGGGATTCATTCATTATCAGTCATTATTGGAACTCACTAAGCTCCCAGAGTCCCTCTAGACACCCAGATTTAAGTTACTGGCTCATTCTGCTAGGTATTGGAAACCACTATTCCCAACCCTTGAACAGTTCTTTAAGTCAAGTAATTCTGCTGCCTGCCTGGAAAATAGAAATCCTTTGCTAGGTCGTATCTCTTCTTCCAGTCCTACATGTCTCTAATGTTTTACTACATCCTGATGCTAACACTGTAGGATCTGGAAAACTAAACTTTCCCCCAAAAATAAAAGTATAATGATAAAAATCTTCACTGGGGAGTCAGATAAAAGGCAAAATTTAAATTGTGTTATAACCCATATCACAGGTAGTAGTGGAGAGTATTAAATGAATATTTGCTAAGTATTAGCTGTAACCTTGGTGGGAAGTACTGAATCTTATTTCCTCAAATGTCCTTAAGACATTTACAGTAAAAATTACTGATACATTTGAAAGGTGCTAGGAACGTATGATTTCCTGGGGAGCTAAATTTTAGAGGGTCAGCGTGAGTATAGTGTTGTCAGTTAACTTAACAAACAAAACTCAACTGCAGTGGATGAAAGATGGCTGCAATAGATTGACATCCCTGTCATATATGGAGAGATATAAATTCCTCAATCCTTGAATCTATATTGGATTTAGTGATTTGTTTGAACAGTGGACTAAGGTGGAAATATCTTGGAATTTATGACACTGTCATAAAAGCCTAGGGACTTTTGTTAAGGCCTCTTGAAACATTTCCTTTTTGAGCTCTGGATAGCCATGTAAGAGGTTTGGTTACTCTTCAGGAGAGTTTATAAGAAGAGATAACTACCTAAGCCCAACCTTTTAACAGTTCATATGAATACCCCAGAAAAGTGAGTTACACTGTTTTGAACCTTCCAGACCAGCCCCCAGTCATTAACTGAATACCACCAAACATCATTGTCAGAGCCATATGGAATGGAAGAATTATCTAGAAAATCTCCGCTTGAATTTCTAACAAAAAAATCATTAGGTATGATAAAATGATTATTGTTTTATGCCCAATTTAAGTTTTGGGGCAATTTATTATGCAGCAGAAACCTTGCACATTAATAGGGCCAGCAGAAGGCCCAATAAAGACTACATGGATTGGTTTAAATTTTTTTTTTAATTTTTTTTTTTTTTTACAGGCAGAGTGGACAGTGAAGAGAGAGACAGAGAGAAAGTGAATGAGAGAAATGAAGAGAGAAAGAATGTCTCTTTCTCTCTCAATATCTTTCCTTTTCTGACTCTTTCTCTCTATATACACATAAAAAGAGAGAGACAGAGAAATAAATGAGTAAGACACAGTGAGAAAGATGAGCAAATAAGAGATCTACTAAGATGGGAGAGTAGGAAGGGATCTTACTGCTCTAGTCACCTTAGTGGATAGTTTAAAAAAGATGAAGAGGGCACAGTCTCAG